GTATTCGTATGCGGATCGATAAGGTAGTCATTAGTCTGGCGCAAAATATTGTACGGACTGTAGGTGGGTATGTCTTGATAGGGGCCATCCCGTTTTCGGCGGATCTTCTCGTGTTGCTGCTGCAGCCATTTAACCTGAAAAGCAAAGCAAACGTCAATCAAGAGGGTCATTAACCAAACATTGAAGGTCAGACACCATAAATCAAGGTGGCCGCTGGCTATCCACTCACCTCGAACTCCGACTTTAAGGCACTGTGATGTTTGCGACTCGAACGAAGCGAACGCTTTGACACACGATGATGCTGAAACAGATAATAGTCGTCAAGGGCGCCAATCTGTGAAAGATAATGTTAACAATGATGAGTGCAAATGCATGTACAACAACTTCATACCAATTAATTATATTGATGTGAATGTTCAAATATTCTTTTTTTTTTTCTTTTAACCCTTGCAGAGGATATTATAATATTGCCACGAAACAACTAAAATGAACTGTCTGCAAAGTAGTCTCCCACTATTAGGACTATCTAGACGACTAAGTATAAACGTACTTGAGTCTGAGTCGGACAGATATATCAAACAGTTGGTTGGGATTTTGTTGGATTTTCAAAATAAGTGGGCCAAACTCACATATAACTCCCCATATGATTAACAACGGACTTCTAAAACATATAGCTTCGATAGGAACTGTCCCCAAATGGTAAAGTCTTCGCATGTTAACTAAAATACACTGTTGTGGGTCTTTGTCAAGAAATATTTCGCACATTGCATGTGTCTGCAAGGGTATTTAATCTTCGGCTTACCGAATTGAACGGTTTCATTCTTTTTTATTTATTATTATTTTGTTGTTTTTGTTATTGTTCATGTACCTGTCCCTTATTGGTGAAGCCGTACTTGCCAGCTATGCTATCTGCCACATATTTGCCAGCAGGTATATGCACGGCAAACTCATTTGTATAGATGGGATCGTCGGGTATGCTATACGCACCAAATATTTCAATATCGTCTAAATGATGCTTCTCAGTCTGTTCAACGTTCTTCTCCGTTTGCTTCTTCGCACTGGCTTTAGTGTTGTTTTTGTTGTTGTTCGAGTTGTTGTTGGTGTTGTTGTTGTGAGTATTACTAGCCTCGGAGTCAGTCTCAGCGATGATCAGGGCTGGGTGTTTACTTTTACGATTCCCAGTTAGTTCTGTTTTACTGTATTGTTGATATTTCGAGTAGTTGTTGATTGGGGAGAATTCACTGGCGCTCTCGTTAATACGGAGTATTCCAGCAGAATGTTGAGTTTTGCTTACGCTTTCGATATTGTTATTATTATAATAATTATTATTAGAATTATTTGTAATATTATTATGAAAAGCAGCACTAGTATTTCTTAGACTTAAAATCGCTAAAACTAATACAAAATATATACAGCTTGTTGCCATTCGATTACATTTGCATAAGTAGATTCTTCTATTGAGTTTTGCATATGGATGGCATCTGCTGGCCGTCCCTTTGCCCGGCTTAACTGTTGGCGTTGACAATTTGCAGCAGGTGATGATAGACGATAGATTTGGGAATGTTGATCTCGATGTTACTGATGATGTATCTGCTTCTGTTTCTGTTTCTGTTTCTGGCAGCAGGTTGTTGTTGTCGTTGGCGCAATCAGTACACGTACGTTCCACAATAAATGGTAATTCGACGGTTCCTTTGCCAATGCCTATATCAAGCATATTTAACTCTGTTCGGCTCTGCTTTTATTTGTATTTGTATGGAGACAGCTCCTCGAATCTCCTGCAGGGCCTTCTTATTCTGTGTGTAGGTGTGTGTGTGTGTCTGTCCTCCAGATATCATGTATCTTCATAGGTATAACTGCGTTTTTGGATTATCTGCATTAATCAATAGAAATATTATTAGTCATCATGTGGTCTGCTTGTTGCATTTTCCATTTAAAGTTAAACGAGCGCACCTTCAACTGACCCCCACCCCCTGATTGAAGATCTTTTTACCGCTTTTAGTTGTTAAAAAAAAATTAAATAAACAACAAAACCAATATCAGTCGCCGGAAACGTGATTCACGCTCCAACACACACAAGCAAACAGTTTTACATAGAGTATCATGGCTTTTGGCCTCTTAGATTTGATTTGTCGAGAACACTTTTTATTTATGTATTTAATTCATCTTAAAGCAGCATTCGTAAACGATTTTGTGTCAATCAATTTAGAATATAATTACAACCAACAATGTATATTAAGAACATATTCAATTCCATTAAGTGATTCCCCAGCTCGTGATCTGTAAATGCATACAGATAAATAACACATACATATGTACGTATACACATATACATGATATGCACATATGATACATACGTACATACATATAAGTGGTGCTTCCCAATTGAAAGCCGTATGTAAACAAGATAAAAAATATTCGAATACGACTTTAACTATTTCGACGAATAATTATATTTATATTATTCATTGTTTGTTTTTCCACCATTTTACAGATAAATTCCCACTTAATGCAATGATGATAATTATATATATATGTATGAATGTAGGTACATTTGTAAATTTTGTATTATTCTTCTTTTATGAAGAAAAAGAGTCTAGTTAAATTCAGGTGCATTACGTACATATAAATGTATATACGATTATACACGTCGAGGCGTGTAATACGTGCTTGATTTATTTCAATTTTAATAAAATACGTTTTTTTATTATTGATTATTTGATTTTGTGGGGTGTCAACATTATGCTTTATACATAAAAAACGCATGCATATATACATGCAGGCACGTCTTAGTGTACATATATATGTACATATTTTATACATGCATTTTGATGTATGGCACTTGAAACAAGTACTTTGTACATACATACATACAAACAATTATGGGAATAAACCATATTACATATTGATTCCGATTCCGGTTTCTATTTCACTGTGCCATTCGTTTATACAACAACAAATCATGAATATATATGTACATGAGTATGTATGCATGTGCTAATAGTTCACATAGTTCACACACGTTCATTTTTGCCAGCACTTAATCACTGATTTTTTTTACTGACATACATACATATATACAGTAAAATATATCGCACTAAAAAATAAAAAAAAAATTAAATGAAGTTGCAATAGCATTATGGATAGATATGTAAGTGTGGGTGAGTAGTCGTGCACAGTGTGTACATACAAACATAGATGAACAACTCCTAATTATATGTATGTATGTAAGCGCGTAATAGTTGGCACTGCATTTGGCTGTATGTATGTATGCAAATGTATTTGCACCATTAAGTATATACACATTTATGTATGTATGTATAGCATACATCGCTTTTTCACAGACATCCGCTTGTGCATACAAACAATGTAGCATAATTGCATTTATACATATCATATATGTATGTTTTATGTTGCAGTCACTTTGTTAAATGTCTTTTTATTTAACCAAATGTAGTTTATCGACACCACTGAAGGAGAACGTGCTTACCATGAGGAACTAACCGAACGGAACGGAACGGAGCGGACCGACCGAACGAACAAACGACGCAACCTCGACTGCGCTCCAGCTTAAACTGAACTTTATTTTGAAGTTAATACATATGTACATCGATACGTTCATGAGTATGAAACGTACCTACATTCGTATAGCGTTGACTATCTCTGCTCACTCGACTTGAGCTAGTGGTAGTACGTTAATATGTATGTATGTATGTACGGCTGTTCGTGCGTTAATACTCATGAAAGCACAGCTTTGAGCTTTCAAAACAAAATAAAATGCAAAACATAACACGCAACCGTGCTGTAACAAAATCCAAACTAATTAGTATTACGTATGTACATATTTTTCAATACATGTACACTTATAGGTATATATGAATGTATGAAGGTATATACTAACAAATTTAAGACATGTTTCGTATGCAGCTCAAAGCCAACTTACCTATACACATGCATATGAAGATGTGCACACATACGTATGCGTATGCCTCTATCTCTCTCAGAGCTGACATTCAAAGAGTTAGCGTCTGCAAAGCAAGGTTTTTTTTTACTGCCCAAACAAGATACACGTTAGCGAATTGTGTTTTTTGTTTGCCAAATGTACACAAATAAATATTAATAACTTTAAACACTTAATTATTTATGGATGTACATTGTACAATCTTAAATAAATTAACATTTAACATTTGTGGGTGTATGAATGCAGTTTTGAGGTGGCGGTGCACAGGGTGACAGGGTGACACAAAATTCATAGCTTGTCCTTGTTCCAAAGTGGTTCATCCTGTGCACAGCTGATTTTATGTTACGCATCCGATTGTTATCGAATGCATGTTATGAGTTGACCCATCGGGGGTGCTACTGATAAGACACCCATGTTATGCATATTTGGCACATTATTTATATAATATATGTATGGAAACCATCTTTATTTGTTATTTCATTTTGTTACCTGCTGCCGTTAATATCAGTCACGGCCAAAGCGCGCACGCCCGCAAAACCAGGCGTAAATAGATACATATGTATGTATGTATGTATGCGCCGCTCAGAGAGCATCTCGTTTCACACTCATTCTCCCCTACGAGCATCGAACGATGAAACTAAAAAAAAAAAACAATTAAAGCGGTAGTGCGGTTTAAACTAAGCACAGCACAGCACAGCATCGCAATCGCAAAAAAGTATATGTATATATATATATGCATATGTATGTGTATGTACGTATTACATGTGTAGGGGAGAGTAGTGCAGATAGTTCAGCGTGATCGAATTGCGTCACATTTGCGTTCAGTTTGAGTTTCCTTTTGTGGCCAGCATCCATTGACGGCGCCGGTAGCAATTGAAATACGGCTTTGTTTATGGGGTCTGTGTGCCAGTTTCATCAATCCGCTTCCGTCGTCTTGAAATTCGCAACTTGGCGTGGGGAATCTTATGGGTTTGGGTTCCTGAAAAGCGTGGCACGAGTTGAAAACCATTTATTGCAACACAAGAAAATAAACGGCTTTCAGTTTCATTTTGTATATCAGAGTTTTATTTTCAATGTTTGAAGGATTCAATAATTTTCTGTTTGCATCAGCAAACATGAAACTTAAAATTTCCACTAAGGCACGGCGGTTCCGGTTTGTACGACCATCCTGGCTCGTCTTGGCTATCCTCGCCAACCCAAGCGACCTGCCATCGTTTTTCAGTTCCTGTAAACATAGAAATCAATTAATCGAAAGTGCTCACCCAACTAGAATAATCAGCTTAATACGACTGCGGCAGAATCAGCAGTCTGTTGAACGGTTTTCAGCTAAAACTAAACAATGTATGTCAGTAGAATCAGCCAATTCCAAGAATCTTAGTATAATACAAATAGAAAATCGAGCACAAACAATTGGCGGCGATGTTCTGGATAAGCAGAACTGCATGTTTTTCGAAATCCTTGGATACTTTTCATAGAGGACAGATCGTGTGTTCCTAACCAGTGGTGGTTGAAGAGGATAGGGAGGGGGAGATAGTATCAATTAGAAAGCCACTTAAGACAAAGATAAAAATAAAACGGAAGAAAAAACGTCTACGGAAAACGTTTACGGAAACCGCTTTTTATCATTGGCCATTCTTTTCATATAGCAATGTCTAGATCGGTGTTTCCATTTCAAGCCATTCTTTATGGTTTCCAAAGTATGGTATAAATTATAATTAAAGTTGAATGCGTGTGGACTGTTATACCATAACGATTTAAAAAGGAAGCGCATGGAGAATATATTGAGAACAATATTTTTCCATTTTCCAACGACAATTAAAACAATTAAAAAACCATGGAGCATCTGCTAGTAATAACAATCGAGTTTCAAAAATATATAGAGCATATTCCAAAAGACAATTTTTTAAAAACCCAATTGCTTGCGTTTAGCTCAGATGTTTGGAGGTGCATACTTAATATTCACATAAGTATATTTGTGCGGTAAATAGCGATTAGTTTTGGAATTATACAAATCTGGGATAGACGGATCAGTCGCCATGATGGGTTATAATACTTGCTTTGGATATATCGTAATAGTTTGTGTTGATGAAGAAGATAAGGATGCCAAATTCCGAATCCGCTCGAAATTCACTTGTGTTTAATTGTTTGTAGTTCCGAAATCCAGGATTTACAAATAGATGATCACACTTTGAAGTTCTCAATGTACATCAATAGTAATTGATACTTTTAGTATATAATGCACGAATTCTTATTTCAAAATTGATTATATTTAAACGTTTTCCCCATCGTAATCCATTATTGAGAAATTGTATAGGAGTCAGCTTAAAAACCAAGATATTTTTACCATATCTCTTCGATAAAGTGACAAAATGTCTATTTTGTTTTCAATATGCTGCATAATTCACAAGTAGAGACGAAATCAAGTACGCAACTGTAATTCAAATTAGGTAGGTTATAAATATATACATATATGGAGGTTACCAAAAATAGATGCCTGCATACATTTTATACGCATGCAAATATATGGAAAGTCACTTGAGAAGCTGGAGAAATTTATGCGTGATAGCTTTTATAAACACATCAATGTTATTCACTAGGTAATAGTATTCACTACCCCAAGCAAATGTTTGGTTTTTTTTTACATTGAATTAAGTAGAAATTCTACTGCGAACTCACATTGTTCGTGTTTGCAATAACAAATACTTGGGACTAGAACTGCAATATTTTTATTATCGTATTATTCCGCTGAAAGCGTTGTGTGCGAGTTACGCGACAAACATCTGCAAAAAGAAAACTACGTTTTGAACTAGAAAGAAATTCAGATGTTCGGCCTGCCGAAAATGAAATACCCTTGCAGACTCCAGACAAATTTTCGGAATTGATGTGGAAAGACGAGGATATGAAACGAACAAGATTTTGGAGGATTTAAGCCGATTTTCCAATCTTAAAGATATAAAGATATATAGTGTAGTTTTTAATAAAGGTGCAACAAACCTATTTTCAAAGGTTCGGTCCATAGCTCGAACCAATTCCTCGGTTGGGTTCCACATCTATGAGGCAAATTGTGAATCGAACCTTTCCATGTTTTCCAATTACTATTTAATTTACTTATCAAAACCTAGTTGATTCTTCATATTCGGAACACTATAACTATTGCGAGCGCAATGTCAAAAACTAACCAGCTTTGGAATTAACCATTATTTTCAAAAATATTGTTCGCTTCAGGCTTGGATTCGGCTCTGCTTTATTCAACTAATGCGGCTTGAAGTTCGTTTCATGTAAAACAAAAAAAATTGGCATTCCGTATTTAAACCGAATCAATTTTAAATACTCATCAGAATTCACCCATACTCGTCTGTTCTGTACTTTGTGGAGTACTACTCACACTCCTTGTGGCACTCGGACTTGATCGTATGCGCGTTTCTTTTTTTTTTGAGTGTTTATAATGTTAAGTACAGTATTCAAATACTGAGATTAAACAGACAACAGAAATATATGCATATAAAGACTTGGATGCTTGTGCATAAATACATATTCTTAAGGGGTTCCAAATACTTTGAGGACCCTCTGCAAGGGTAAAAACAAATGAATTCATTCAAACGTTTCTAGACACACATGAACACGCACACACACACGGTTCACATAATATCTCAGCACTCCCGGCTAAGCCCCGTGTTTATTTGTGGCACATAAGAATTGCGAACCGTACATACCTTTTTCTAGTCGGCTATATTGACTCCAAGTAATAATTTTTTCTTTTTGGTGGAATGTGTACACCCCTTCTCTGTTGTAGCGAACGCTTTGTACAGTTTCACATCATATTTATAGAGAGCGTTAATGCCCAGTTCTCTGTTGGAATACTTGCTCCGAACTTTATCGTAAAAAAGAAACTTACATTGTTGCATATTCGTAATTTCCCACCAAAAGTTATTTGCCCGATAAGCCATAGATAATATATTCCCATCATTTTCATTTTCATACCCGTTCAATGCTCAAGTCCTTATTTTCATAGCTCTTATATATAGAATATCATGAACATGAAAACCTTTGAGCTTTATAATCAAAAAATCACGCCGATATTCCCAACAATAAATCGTTCCAAAAAGACGATGGCTTTGCTACTTGCTGCTGCCACAGAAAATTTATAAAAATCTTATTATATTTAAATTGACGACGAAATTTTAAAGAACGAACAATGTTCGTGCCAACAATTTTCAAATTTGATCTGTTAAAAATTAGCTGCAATTATGAATATTTCAGGTAATATACAATTATTGAAATATTCAAAGTCCGCTTCGATTTTGCTGCTAATTTGTATTCTATATGAGATTCTTCCAACCGTTTTCATATTGCTTGGTATATAGAGTGTTTTTTAAGATTTTTTAAAGTACCATTAGGGTGACTTTTCGTGTCGATTTGGTAAATTTCCCAATTGAATTTACAGTCTTTTCGAAACACCCCCAAGAAAATATACATAAAGCATTTATCAACATAATTCTGATTATGTTATCATTTACTTATTGTCTTTAAGTAATTGGATCGCAAATTGCTGCGATTTAATAATATAGAAATATATATAAGTAATAAAGTGAAACAGGACTTTGGCAAAAAAAAAATAGACGAAACATAATTGTAATAAAGATCAAATCCATACTGAAATAAGCCAGAAAAAAAAATAAAAAATATGGAGCCCCAGCCAACACAAGTTTAAATATCTTCAGATCGTACAGATATATATTTATAAATATGTGTCTATAAAGATTCCCCTCTCCGCTCAAGCCCTAGCTTTGCGAGTCCCGTACCATACTCACCATAATTGATTGATGTACATAACATTGGAGAAGATTAGATTATCTTTGTATATATACATCGCATATACTTATATTTTAGATAAATATGATCAAGACATGGATGCATTTTAAGAATAATACAAAGAGAAAAAATATACTAAAGAAATTATGTTTTACATATAGAAGCTACTAAAAATGATTCATATTTAAATGTTAGATTCTATGTACTGGTTAAATTTCACTTGTCGCCCGGATAAAATAAGTATTTTATTCTTGCTTTCCATTCATGGCGGCGTTTTGTCTTGCACTCGGTTTTACTTTTATGTATGATTCTTTATTAAAAGGACTTGACGATGACATATTTGACAAATAATTAAATCAAATCATAAAAGTTTTGGGTGCAGCAGTTGATTATAGATTGTATTAGATTATGTATGTTCCATAAGTTTTCTTGTTTTGTTTTCTCTCTTTTTGTTTTGTAATGTTTTGCAATGAATTTTCACTAAAATAAGTGAAATGTGTCGAGTGTACTACGTAAATCAATGCAATCTGTCGATTTACGTATTATCCATACTGGTCCATGCATTATATCGGCTGTCTAAAAACGACGTCGTCCCCATGGAACATTATTTCCGCCATTATTTCCACGTTGATTGCCGCCTTGGTTCATATTGTTAACCCCAAATTCAAAAGCAGCGAAGGAGTCCTATTCGAGCAAGGAAAGTACAATTGTTCAATTGAGTTGTTACTGTTTTTGACTGAGTAGAGGAACCCAACTTCAAACCAAAAATTAATAATAATGCATAATTAAAAAGTATAACACCCCCTTGTTAGCCCCGCCCGCATATGCCATATGGCACGCTCTCCTAATGCAACCACAAATTTGCGTGCCACACGCAAATATCGGGCTGCTAAGAAGGATAACCATGTTGCGCGACATGTTAAAGCCATTTAAAAAGCCTCCCCCTTACATATATAAAGATAATGCTAAATATGTGATTTCCATGCTTCAAAGCTGGGCATCATTATCAGAAAAAATTAAAACAATTTGACTTTAGCGAGTCACGCATAGAACAAAAAAATATATATATATATCTATATGCGTGTGTTGTATATATACACATATCACATTTACACATTTAGTTACTGAATGGGATAATGCTAAATACTAAGTTCTACATGTGCTATTGTTGCCAAAGATTACGCTGAAGACCATTGCTAGTCTGCCATATATATGAGGTATATAAGTCAAGCCCCCATATTCCAATTCCCGCCCTGACCAAAAAAATTACCCTTTCAATTTTCTATCTACATGAGTGAGAACAGTCATTGAAATTATATAACCATTAATGAGAGTCGGCGCAATGTAACGATTATGGTATGTTAATAGGCGCACATCTTGTTCATATTGAAGTCGACTATATGCCATATGCTATATAGCAGCTCAATACTACGTCCTGTACGTGTACATACCTGCTGCTGGTTGTTTGCACCGGGTCCGGCATTGTTGCCAGCCATGGACGAGTTGTTATTACCTGGATGCAAATACGACAAATGATTACAACAATTTTAAATGCGTCAAGTCAAGTCAAGGATTTACCTCTGAACACTTCGAACGGGGAGTTGCTATTGCCTCCGAAGTTATCAAAGTTTGAATTGCCGCCGCCGCCGACACCACCGCCACCACCACCGCCGCCGCCGCCACCGCTGTTGCCACCGCCGAAGCCTTCCTGTTGATCAAGCAGCGAGTTTAGCTGCTGGGCCTGCATAAATAATGTGTTCTCCTGCTGACGACGACGCATATCCTCCTCCTGGCGCACCATACGGCTCTGCATTTCGGTCTGGTGACGACGCATGGTTTCCTCCTCGCGTTTGCGCATCTCCTCGGCCTGTTTCTCGCGCATTTCCCATTCCAGTTTCTTGCGCTCATTATCAGATTCGCGTTTTCTTAATTCTAGAAGAATATTCGAGTATTAGCTGCCGAGTTAAGTGCTGGCTAAAGATTAAGGATATGATGAAACCAGTAACCAGGAACCATCCCGAACGCCTTGCCGCGACCCATAAAACATTCTATTTTAAATTTCATGTATACAGAATTATATACATGGGTAAATTTACAATTTGTTAAGATAATGAAGGATTCATGTGGGAATGTTGTATCTAGCATACAGTCATCTTCGTCATTTGATATACATATACCCACAAATGCTTTCTACAATAACAAAACGCTTCAGATATATTAAATTTTTTTAATATTTTAGAATCCACCCACCCAGACATACAAGGCTAGAATAGCCATGTTATATATATCCCTAGTTAATGGTACAAACATATTTTCTATTGTTTACCAAAAAAAATTCCATGGCTTCCCAAAATTATACATAGAATCGGGCTGGTACATTGAACCATATAGATAAATTATTATACTGCACTAATTCTGTACCGAACAGATAAATCTTTTAAGCACAGGCCATAAGCACTGGCCATTTCAGCAAAACCACAAGAAAACACGAGAAGCTACTTTTAAGTCCACCAGCAACAACTTGCACATATGAACGATTCTTCATCTAATATATTGGCAGTTCCAGAAAGTCTATTATGACCAAAATTCAACACGTTTTTTTTTTTCGTTTATAACCAAAGAAAATATACTCAAATTACTTTAACTTAGCTGTCAATGCTCAGCCGAATTTGCAACTCTTTTAAGGGTTTTCAATCTTTTTAATTGCTGGTTAACAGACATCTAATGTGGGTTTCGCATACCAATGCAAGAAGGTAGAAAATATATAGCTCAACTGACGGTAATTATGATGCTCAATATATTCTGAGATAAAAAATGTATTAAACAAAATTTGAAATAAATTATTAACGCAAAAAAAAAACCATAAAGTTACGTGTGTCCCGTAACGTTCATAATAGCTAGCATAAAAAAAACACTAATGATATTCCGCTAATGGTATTCTATTAAATTGCATTAAGAATCTTGGCGTCAAGTTAGAGACTTGCGTTTTTATAAATTTAGACGCAAACCACTCCGATGTATAATCCGTAACGGGTTACTATTAATGTGCTAATAGATTTTTTTACATTAAACAAGGAAATATTTTGGTAATATGCTTTTTAAAAATCATCGCTTGATTTTGTTTTCTATTGTTCATATTAAAAACGCACAACTAAATGCGTGGCCCTGGAATTGCCCTTATATAAACTTATAAAATATTTAAAAATATATGTATTATGCTTAAATGTGGTTGCTGCATCACATTCGACATTGCAAGAACGCAAGAAATGTAAACACAAATTGAAGTAAGCATAGTGATTGTAATTACAAAAGATAACAATAATAGTTCAAATGATTTACATATCGACAGACTCAAATGACCCCCATTCATTAATTGTCCGAATCGATATAGCGAATCGATATAGAAATGTATTAAAAATCGAAATATTGCTGTCTAGCAAAGCAATTGAAACGGTAAAAGCTGAGAAACTATCGGTAAGAATTCGCTCGATAGTTCATTGTTGCACTACACAGCTTGGGTATATTCACAGAATGTAAACATAAAAATGTCAAAAGGTAGCGATCAATAAAAATCGATTTATCGATATTCGATATATTTAGATAGTTTTTGTCTAAGCAATTGTTTTTATAGTTTGTTTTACAACTTTATCACATCAATTATAAAAAGCTTTAACCAATTAAGAATTTGGTTGCGCTTTGTGAGTGGAGTTTAAAGTAGAGATTAATTGAGGAAGAGGAACGAAACGGACTTATTCCGTTATTTTCGTTTCTCGTTGATTTGAAGGTTGATCCATTTGGGAAGGGTATCACTCTTTAATAGAGATTGTGTTAAAACTTCGGCTAGCCAGAAGTTGAATATGTATTTGATTTAGATACTCGTATTACCCTGTTATACTAACCTTGACGCAAAAGCTCTGTTTCTTGCTCATAGCGAGCATACTCCATCTGAGCATCAAGTTTTTCTTCTTCCATTTTGAGCTCACGCTTGAGAGCATCTTGCTTGCTTTTGAATAGATCATGCAACTGTTTCCATCTGGAGCCGTACTCGTGCTCAAATGAATTTAGATCGGCGAAACGGGGCCCAACGCTGCGCTCCTGATTGAACTCTTGCAGCTTCTTATTGAGGGCCTTCTCGGGCAATCCGTCGTTGTCATCGTTAACATCCATCGGCTCCACCAAGCACGGACGCAACGAGGCCGTTAAAAAGAAGCATTTCTCATTGCACAAGCGCAGACAGGCGCTGGCCGATGACTTTTTGGCAAACTCAACGGTCCCCTCGCCCAAATGCTTGCCACGATCGTCGACTGTAATACTGGCCCGCTCAATGGGCCCAAATATTTCAAAGGACTTGTAGAGTAGCTCGTTTGACACGAACGGTGTCAGATTGCTAACACGCAAGATGGTTGCGTTGGGGGCAAAACGGACGCGAAGCTGGCGACCCTTGCGCATTGAACCGTCTAAGGCGCGCTTGGCCTTTTCGGCATTAATATGATAGTCAACCTTAAGGAATGTAAAGTTCTTTTCAAGATTGGAAAATATCTCGCCTATTTCGCCGTACGGCTTAAACATTTCGCGCAACTCCTCATCGGTAATGTCATTGGTCAAATTGCCAACATAGAGACGATTGCGTCCAGAGAACTTGGTCTCCTGGGCGACTTCGATCGGTGGTAGCTCATGTGTGGGACCACTAATGCTGCGTAACCGTTGGGCTATAAAGAAGTCATCGCCGCGCTGCGAATTATTACCGCCGCCAGAGTTTTGTCCTCCGCCGCCACCACCACGCGATCCGCGATTCCTATCGCGTCCTCCTCCACCTCCGCCGCCGCCACCACCACCACCTCCACCACCACCGCCGCCGCCGCGAGCCCTAAATGCCTGATTTTGAGCATGCGCATGAGCTTGAGCTTGAGCCTGGGCCTGGGCCTGAGCTTGGGCCTGAGCATGAGCTTGAGCTTGAGCCTGGGCATGAGCTTGGGCCTGCGCTTGAAGTTGTGCCTGGGCTTGGGCAGCTGAATTTGAATTGGATTGATTTGCATTGTTAGCTTCGTTAGATTTGTCATTGAGATTTCCTCCGTCCGCTTTTGGTGCATCTGTTGTGGACTTTTGCTATATATGTGTGTATTATATATATTCATGTGAGTATATAAAGAAAGAAATAAATGTGATTTACACTACGCAATTGTTTAACTACAGTTCTCTTTAACAACAAACAAGCCAAGTTATTGGCAAACAAGTTCGCTAAAGTTTTAACAAGCACTTGGCTGCTGCAGTTTATCTATTATAATTTATTTATGTCTAAGTGCGTAAAACAGCATATATATAAAAACGCTTACATATCTAGAGATATTTATGGTTTAAATAGTTTCCTCTTAACCCAACCAACAGAATTATGCCTTACAGTTTAGAGAAATACCATACATGTAGTATGTTTATGCTTAGCACTGTTGCCAGCTTTTGATGTTCAAACAAAATATAAAAAAAGGGATATCTAGCAAAAAATAAAAACCAATTTCTACAGGACAAATTAATTTGGTGACTAACACCTACTAATCTGGTTAAAAATTTTTATTTCAAAATCTTTCAACTCAATAAGCTGAAATTCTAATAGATTAATATACACGTGTCGAATTTGCAAAATTAGCCCATGATTCCGACTTATTTTGATCATAAATTTTGAGCTCATTCACAAACGCCGCGGCGTTGTTATCAACTGCCGCTTTAAAAAGTATCTGAATCAAATGTAAAAAATGGCTGAAAATAGCTAATTAGCTTTTTCGCGCACAAATTAAATGAGGTTCCTCGCACTTGCCATTGACGTGCCAAGAAAATAGGTTACAATTTCAACTGTTTCCGGCTAATCTCCGTAAATAGCCTAATTTAGCTAGAAAAATGCTGAATTGGCAACACTGGAGCAGCCGTACTTTGAAATTTCTGGAAACATTACAATTATAAAACAACTGTTTAAAGTTACTTGTACGCAACGATATAATAGAATATTAAAAACCTTTTATTTCCATCGCATTTAAAATATTTATCTTAAGCGGCTGTCGCAAGACTTGCCACATTTTCTAGATTGGAGTACACTGAATAAACAAGAATATTTCGAATATGCAAATATCATCAGAAAATATTCGCAAACATCAGCATTTCGCTTTGCAGATAAGCGGAAAAAGGGCAAACACACTTATGTATGTTTGCACACACACGTATAAGTTGGTTGCAACATGAGGCACAAATGTACCAAAGCTGGTATTGAATTAATGAAACTTTTTTTTCACAAATCGTAATTTCTTTTTTTTTTGTGTTCAATAAAAAGTTGAGCAAGTATTTTTACATTTGCTTGTATTTTTAAGAACATTAAGTGCATGTGTAAGAAAGATTTAACAAACCAGAAATTAAATATGTTGAAATAATTTACATTTAAATACGTTTTTCGTATATGTACATGTTTACAATTTGTACTTTTATCGAATACGATACAATTTCTTGCAATTTTTGGTGCAAGATTCCTAATCAGATGGCAATCGTGTGCATACAAACACTTTGCTTACCATACCGTTATATTTGAAGTTTTTCCCCGTTTTACGGAACCCCCAAGCACAAAAAGCGCATGAGCATACTTGCAGAACATAGCGCTTTTTAAAGAACAGTTAGATCAAACACGAGGATGGACCAAGTCATTGAAACGGTTTCAGTTTGCTTAACAAACTGTGACAAAAGATAATAATAAAAAGGTTAATGACATATGTACATACAAACATATAAATGTGTATGTGCGAACCACATATGCATTTATTAATATATTAAAACGCCCACCCTTAATTCACACAACGGTTGTTAACAAAATTCTCAATATGGTTACCATCCATTTGCCGGTTGTATAAAAAACACACACAAGCTAATAATGCGGCAAGCTAGCGAGACAACACAAGCTGCTTTAACTCGAAAGCCATGGGTGCGAACGAGATGAATGATATATCACGAACATACTGTACGACGCAAACATATACACGCGTACTAGTGTACATAGGTTGGTGTATGCATGTGTATGTTATACGTATGCCATGTGAATTGTGCAGAATACTCTTGTAGAACGCCAAACACAAAGAAATACACAACTATCTATTGCTTTGTAAATTAAATTTGAATGCAAGATCTCATCTCATCCACCCAAAAATATACAAGTAAATACATCTGTATGCGTGTATGCATACCTTAATATTGTGAAAAAAAAAAGAAGAGAATCCCAAATTGAAGGAAAAATTCTAATGTTAATATGTATCCATATAGCTTTCAGCGAATATAAGTAATACAGTAACATTTCGTTCCCAATGACTTTTGCCACGTTTTTGCATTTAAATTTCACACAGCATCTTAGCATAGCCTTAGGCCGCCATTGTAATTGTATATGCTAGTACTTTTCGAGTGTACACACCACGCGCACAAACATATGTACATACATACAGACACTAGTCTGGAGTTATTTGTTTTTGTACAACATGCAAAAACACGATCATCTAGGCCGTTTAATAAACTGGTATTAGAAATTTGCCGCCGGCAGTAATCAATCGAATTTAATGCAATTTCATTATTCTTTTATTACACATTGTGTATGTATGAATAACTTGTGTTCATATGTACTTACGTTTTGATTCTGATTTTGAAAATTCGACCTATTTTGATTGCCGCCACGATTGCGGCTGCGATTTCCACCTCCGCCAAATCCACCCTTGTTTGCGAAATTTTTATTTTGATTTTGGCCACCTCCGCCGCCGCCACCAACACCTCCACCTCCACCTCCGCCGACGCTACCACCGCCACCATTCTGATTGCTCGGGCCAAAACGTTGCCGTTTTTCTGCTGGGCCACCGTCTGAGGCACTTTCATTTTGCTTCTGTGGGCCGTGTTTGCCGATATTTTTATTCGGTTGATTATTAGCTCTGGCTTGGCGCTGTGGCAGCGGTGTTGAATTGCCAGAATTGTCCATTTTTGCAGAATTTTCCATTACGAGATTGAGGAAAAATTATTTTAAAAAAAATCAATTACACAACCGTCCAGCTCCGTACAGAAACTGAAGCGTAATGAAATGACAATGATTGTGGGAACGAAACAGTTCTATATCTGTCAGGGTTGCTTTTGTCGCTTCGATCTATCGATATATAACAGTGATGTGAGAACACTCGAGATATTATTCCCTTAGCGAGTTGAAACCGATAGTAAAATAAAACAATTAAAAAAAAAACGTTAAATATATTTTGATTGACCATGATAACTTAATCCAGTTATATATAAATATATTTAAATAACTTGCCCTCCAAACCGCTTTTGTCTCGAGACTAAAAGTTGAATAGCATATATTTACATTTTTCTTAAAATAGGTCTTTAGGCCTAAGGACTAAAAGCAACCCACATAGGAATGGAACTAATTTAAAGAAACTACAGATAAAATTGGTGAGCAAGGTATATTTATTTAGTTTATACTCTGAGTTTATATACAAAAATGATTATTTTTGAATTTCGATGAATAAAATATAATGGTTTTTGAAGTGGGATGTCCAGCACTCTTAGGCAATCTATTATAAACAAAAAACTAGTAAATTAATAGGTGTTTACTTTTAATAATAGTTTTACTTACCAATTTCATAGAATCCCTTTTTAATGTATTTAAGAAACATTTCTATTGGAAAATTTAGAAGCTTGCGACGAAAACATTCCAGAATTGCCAATGTAGCGCAAGTGAGCGCCTTCAACTGTAATCATACAAATATATTAGCTTGCCATTTAAAAAATAAATAATTAACTTACCGTTGCAAACACAACATAGTAGACAAGAGTGGTCGGAAACAAGAACAATATTGCAGAAAAAAATATTGTTGCAAGGTATAGCTGGCGATTCATATAGTTATGAGCTTCAATTCTATCTAAAAACAAAAAACGTATAATAAATATTTATCAAAATAAGAATGTCTATTTTAATGGCCTTACTTCTTAAGATATTATAGCGATTGCCTCGTACCACTTGCCATAACACCGTCAGCCCTTTTACTTCCACGTTATTCAATCTGAAAAAAGTAATTTGGTAAAATGATATTTAAATAGCGTATTCTTAAACTTTGATTAACTCTTACACTTTGGTGTAAACGTAAAAACAATGAGCATGTAAGCCAACAATTGATATTAAATCGGCAAGCAATGCTATTTGATATGTAAATCCTAAACACCCAAATGCCCCGATGGCAAGGAAAACCTGCCGAACAATTGGTTCGATCAAATCTGAAACAATTGAAAAATAATAAGGTTTGTGGAATAATGAATTATAATTGTTAATTATTGCATACCCAAGAAGGTGGACCACAGTTCAATGTGATATTTAAAGCAATCAAGAAAAAAATTATTCAAATGTATGTTAAGCTTGAGGCCGATTGGACTACCTTCCAAAACCTTCAATAGACTATATAACTGGTGTATAATAATCTGAAAATAAGAGATTATATTACAGTTACAGCAGTGTGTCGTCAATAAAAACGTAGAGCTTACGTGGGAGATCTGAATTAGGAAATCACCTGGATGAGAAACAAGCGTAAACAATACCAACATCAAAATAATGCCCAATGCTCGATCTATCATAATATTCGACAATCTGGAACTGAAAACAAAATATATCAATAAATAAATTAATTAATATAAATAAAAAAATGTTAAACAAATCTTACCCCGTTGTATAGATCGATTGCCATTCCTTATAGTGTCTATAAATTACTGTGTGGGTTATTATACTATTTATAAATTTGTTTCCAACAACATATTGAAACATTTGCATTGGAATATTTGCAAGCAAACATAATGACTGACTCCCATAGAACCACAAATCATTCGATTTGCGGAACGTGTCTGGATTTGGTTGGACCAACTGGGCCAGCATATAGAAATCACACTCATCATTAATTTGATTCTCCCTTGTCCAGTGGGCGAGGGTGTTGTTTTTTTTGACAACTAAACTACGTACTGTTTGTTTATCGTAAAGTATTATTTTTATTTGGTTAAGATTTTCGGGCGTAATTCCAGTAAACATAAGCGAGACGTTCGGCGTATCATTGCTGTAAGTGAAGCATAAGACCACATCATGTGAACGGCAATAGTTACTGTCCGCATAGGAGTCACTGCACAGGATTGATCCCAAGAAACGCATTTTATTTGTGTCCAAGTCCAGTTTATTGTTGTCAGCATCTACCACATAATAAACTACGACATTGTCCTCGCTAATATGTAGCTGCCCATATAAATTGCAGGCCCGCTTTAGATAGAAGTATTCAGTTGGTAAAAATATCTTTATGCTCATAGTTTTTAATAAAACCGGCAATAATTGACCTCATAATACAAAACAAAACAAAATATATATATAAACATATGTAAGTTTATATATATATAATATATATATATCGATAACAACTTACCATCATGCCATCGATATCTCTTGATATGCCTTGCAACCCTGATGCATGTTTGTGTTTCAATTCACAATTTCATAGTTTTTCACGTGTTCTGTTTTATATCGTTTCGCAGATATTTATTGACATACACATTCGCATTTTAAAGGGATACATATTTCATCGGCTTTTGTTTTATAGTTAAAATTTTTTTTTCGTGTCAAAATATATTTGTGCAAATATTATAATGGGATATGATGGTAAGTTGCAATATTTAAGCGCCTTACCAATGCCTTATATGTGTTTAAGTGTGCTTAAGTTCGGGCATCGGCTAATTTACACATGCATGTACGTACATAAGTTTACATAAATAGAATAGGCGAATGTACTAATGATTGCAAATTTAGACTGCACATGTGTACTTGGTAAAACATGATAAATGCTGTTTATTTGAAAGTTTTCAAATCATTTAACTATTTATCGTTATTTTGCATACTCACCGGCAGACATATTGGGCGCTACATACATACGTACGCATGGATGTACATACATATGTGTATTTGTTGAATTTTCATTTATGTTATCCCTTCAATATGCCCTGCGAGTAACTATCAGGTATGCGCATGTATGTGTGCGTAATTAATGCGACATTGCATACTTTTTTCCCACCAAAATAAACGCATTGCGTATGACGATGAGGCAGTTTTCACTATGGATAAATATGTATGCATGTGTGCGTGTGCGTCTGTGTGAATATGTATTTATGTATGCGTGTACGTGTGCAAGCCCCGTGAGTATCCAGCACACAATTTAAATTTGCTTATGTTTTCATATGTATATTGAGCTAAAGTACATGGAATTAAAGCCGGTGATAGGAACATCAATATGCTTATGAGTGTATGTAAATAGTTATAGGAGCGTGTACAGTAGCTACAAGAATTAGGCTCCCACTACGAACAAAAAAAAATGCAAATAATGAGAGCCGACAAGTGCTAATAATTGTGAATATTACTTTTATTTGCTAATGTGATTTATAACAAAGCTTGCTAAGTTAAAATTGAAATTAAACTTTTCATGTTTGAACCATAAACTGTAGAAGCGAAACCCAAGCGTGTATTATTTCAAATATATTTTAAGTACTGCAATTTGACATTTTATAACTTTACTACTTTAAACTTTATAATGGTCAGAACCTAAACATCCATTAAAAATTAAACAATAAAGCAGAAAAGATCAAGGGGAAAAGATAAATAAGTTTCAGAGTCTACATATCTTACGTACAACTGTACAACTTTAAAGCTATGTATATATTACAAATCTATATATGGATAAAACGGTTTGTCCTGGCTGACTGAATCGGAACAGTTTAATCTAAAACTTTGTATTAAATAACCGCAACTCCTGTCTGCTGGTTGCGAATGGGGATTCATGGTACAATCGGAAAATTATAATTTATTATAAATTTTATAATAACAAAAGAAAACTTGTATGTCTAAAATTTAAAGATAAGAACTTGGCCCGGGTAACGCCGGTCAGCTAGTTTAATATATATAGTTTATATACACGTTAATTAACACTTCAAACTTGAAGGCATTTGCTCAGACTTTAAGCATGTATACAAACATATTTGGTATTTAAGATACATACATAATATGATTGCGATACATTATCGCAAATAGATGTAGAAATTGTTGGTATATAATGTATACATTTATGTTTTACATTAACAGATCGTGACCGTGACCGCGACAGGCGCCGCCATCGATCCCGATCTCGTGATCGGCATCGTGACCGCTCTAGGGATCGTCGCCATCACCGGAACTCGCGCCGCAAGCCGTCATTGTATTGGGATGTGCCGCCGCCTGGATTTGAGCACATAACACCAATGCAGTACAAAGCGATGCAAGCGTCGGGGCAAATCCCGGCCAGCGTAGTGCCAGATACGCCGCAAACAGCTGTGCCCGTGGTGGGGTCAACTATAACGCGTCAGGCGCGTCGCTTGTATGTGGGCAACATTCCGTTCGGTGTCACTGAGGAGGAAATGATGGAGTTTTTCAATCAACAAATGCATTTAGTTGGTTTAGCACAAGCCGCCGGCAGTCCAGTGCTGGCATGTCAAATTAATTTGGACAAGAACTTTGCTTTCCTCGAGTTCAGATCTATAGATGAGACCACTCAGGCCATGGCGTTTGATGGGATCAATTTAAAAGGACAAGACCTCAAAATAAGGCGCCCACATGATTACCAGCCAATGCCCGGCATCACGGATACGCCGGCAGTCAAGCCCGCTGTTGGTAAGTTGTCCAGCAAAATCAATTGGTGACCATTGGTCTCAGAACACAGAAATAACACAATCCTCTATTCAATAGTGTCAAGTGGAGTTATCTCAACAGTGGTGCCCGATTCACCACACAAAATATTTATTGGAGGTCTCCCCAATTATTTAAACGACGAACAGGTAAGCGAAGAAAGCTTAAAAGCGGATTATAAAGAAATTGGAGCAAGAAATATAAGAGAACTCAATGAAGTATCTATAACATTTATAAATGCATTCGAATATATGTATATATACTTACATGATGTAATATATAAATGGAAATATCTAAAATGTAAAACAAATTTGATTTGCATATGATATACTAAAAAATACTACCT